GGGACAAGAGGGACCGGTGCTGGTCGGAGCCGGACAGGAGCTCTCCTTCCCCGTGAGAAAATGCCGGCGGAGTTCAGGGGAAGGAACCAGAGCAGCCACACACACAGAGGGAGCCCGGTGTGCGTGCACACGCGTGTGCACGGCTGTGCACCACAGGACGAGCCGTACTGGGAGCAATGGTGTGGGAAGCAGCAGTCCCAGCTCCTGCTCTGCGCTCAGCCCCAGGGATGCACAGCGGGATGCAGATGCTCTTGACGTGGAAAAGTGGGAGAAACCAACGGGTGCTGCCGATTCCCGGCTGCAGAGCAGCACGCAGCACCGCAAACAGCTTCGCCTGCCTGGAAGGATGTCTCCCCCAGTAAATGCCACCCTGGTTCTCTCCATGCCCGGTCCCTGGCAGGCCTGCCTGCACCCCTTGACACCCCGGCATGGCCACGCACCCACTCCCTGCTGCAGCTTCCCTCCTCCTGCCTCCCCCCCGCAGAGGGATTACACGGCCGCTCCAGCAGCCATCTGGAGAGGGGAGCTGGCCCCTGGCACCCAAGGGACCGTGGCACACATCACGGGTGGGATGGCGGGGCCGGGCAGTATGGATCGAACCGTGTACACAGGACTCGGCCCTGCCACGCCACGGCACGGCCCAACAGCACAGCCCTCGGAGGATGGCAAAGACCCTGCAAAGAGATGACGGAGGGGCTGGACCTGCCTCTGCAGAGGGGTACTGCGGCCAGAGCTGGGGTCCCCACCGAGTCCTGGGGGAGGATGGCCCGGGGGGCCCAGTCCAGCCCCTTCCGCTGGGGTTTAATAGACTCGTGGCGTATTTAACATGCCCTTATCATGTGATGAATCAGACCCTGTTCCCTCAGATCTAACAGCGGCGCAACAAAGCTGCGATTGACTGCTCAGGGTAGCGGCTGCGGCTCGCGCGCTGTCTCCGGCACTGCCAGACACCTCGATGCAGGGGGGGCCAAGCAAGAACAGCATCTCACAGGCGACACGCATCCCCGAGGCGGTTCACCCTTGCTTCTCTGTCGAGGAGGAGGAGGCTGGCTCTCCACTAACGAGCAGGCAGCGAGATGGGAGCCACGAAGCCCAGGAAAGAGCTCGGGTCCCTGGGAAGCGCCAGACGACATCTCGGGCTCCATCCATCGCAGCCCGTCCTGGCTGCGACCTCAGCAAAGCGCCCAGCCACGGGGACCAGACCCGGCATGCGGGGTTGGGGGGGGGGGTCTGGCCCATCCGAGCCCCCAGTCACAATCATGGGGGTTTGGGGGTGCTGAGCCAGGGCTCCAAAAGCCGGGTCTCTCCCAAAACCTCAGTGCTGCCCACCTGTGCACAGAGTGGGGTCCAAACCCGGGGGACCCCAGCCCGCAGCTCTGGGGGTGTGGGACACAAGCCAGCACACAGCACATAAACGCACCAGGGGGACAGCTCAGGGGGTCCCCACATCTCACCAAAAGCACGGCAGAAGGGATGGGGGGGGGTGCAGGGGGAGCCTGGCCCCCAGCCCCT